TTAGACAAACATGGATGCCTCCAGTAAAGCACATTCACATGAAAATTACTCTGAATTAAACTCAATTAACTTTTCCTTCCATTATTACCACAGATATTAATTCACACACCTTAGATTCAATATTATTATTTTATTAAAGGAAGATTAAGCCAAACTGGATGTTTGTTAAAAATAAAGTGCGAAACGCTTAGATCAATAAAACATCATTATTTCAACTCATGTTTTTAATGAGCTTTTTAAGGCGATTCTCAGACCTGCCATTCTGTGACACCCTTTGAAAAAACCTTCAAGAAAAAAATAAAATTAATCATATTTTTTGGGGAAGTTTAATAAGACATAATAGGAAAACATTTAAAACAATGAATTAAACACATCTGCAGCTTTCTACAATCTTAGAGTGAAATTAAACAGGAGTTTTGAAAGATTACAGTAAACAATTAAAGCACAGTCGTGTCGGTGTGATGAATCTTTGCCGCTCAGTGGGAACTGATTCAGTCCAGTCTGATGGTCCAATGTGAACCCGGTCTTTAGTTCAGCGCTCCAGGCGTCCCCACTCAGCCGGAGGGTCTCTGGGTCCTTTGGGCTTCTGGATGCGGCAGTTAAAACCTAAAGAAAAAAACCCAGAAAACTTTAGATTCTCTAAAATCAGGTGAATAAAAGGAACTTCAACAGGGGTCTGTGACACCTAGGGGTCCATGGAGGTACTGCATGGCGGTCGCAAAAGTTTTGGTTGATTAAAATATTTTTTTTTTCTTGAATTTATTGAAAACACAAACCTAACTCCATAGAGAGGCATTCCATAGTGTGTCCTTTAAGACTTTAACTGGTTTAAATTGTTTTTATTTCCTCATCAGGAATGAATAACGTTTAAATGAATCGATCAGTGAACTTTGGTTTATTTTTGCCTTTCATTGCTGCAGATCAGCTCAGCTTTGTTTAGAACCACATCAGACCTGCTGATGAGGTCATTCTCTCCTTTATTACTCACACACCAGAGCTGGGAGGTTTCTGAGGACATTACATCATCATGTCATGGTTTGCATTTTTACATTTTGATCCTGAATGAAACTTCATTCAGGAATGGAGGCCACAGATTTGCCACAGTTTGAATTTTTGATCTAATTTCTGCTCCAGAGCAGGAAGACGAACAGCCGCCATCGCTGAACTCAGACCACATTTTCCATCTGTTTCCAGAGATGTTTCTCCTCCATCACACTCACTCCTGGCCTGCTGCTCCTATCTTCATGTTTCTCTGCTGCCATCTGGTGGCCAGCTGTGGAACTGACTCATCATAGAAAACAGGTCCAGCTGTGGTTAACTAGCTGGTTCTGACCATAGATATCCATAATAAAGGCTAGATGTCTTACGGCGGAGTC